CCTGTCTGTACCTGTCTGTACCTGTCTGTCTGTGCAGGTGTGCTCAGTGTTTGAGTTTTCGTGCTTCAGACCCGTTCGCTCGGTTCTGTCCTCAGTGTGGCGCTGTGGTTCCTCCATTACCAGAACCAAGACTGCCCCCTGCTGAGGAAGGACAGGTACTGCACACTCACCTGGACTTCCTGTGTACTGAACATGTCAAAGTAAAAGTTCTCGCTGAACAAATGAGATAATCAAAGTGATTTAAGGTTAGAAAGTTTAAATCAAGTTAACGTCTGTGTTCTGTTGACAGATGATTCTCTGTGTGTTCTGTAACACCGAGGTTCCTGTCAACACTCACACCTGTTTGATTTGTGAAGCTTCAGTCCAACAACAACTACAACCACAGGCCAGACTCACACTGCAGGTACACACACACACACACACACACACACACACAACAACACACCTGAATTAATATTTGTTGTGTAGGATCATAGGGTGTGTGTTTGCTGTGGAAGTGGGAATCCAGCTCATATCTCCACCTGCCTGACCTGTGAGAGCTGCCTGCAGCCGGTAACACACAAACACACACACACTCACACACACACACACACACACACACACACACACACACACACACTCACACACACACTCTCTCACACACACACACACACACACACACACACACAGTTGGTTTAACTGATTCATCTGCAGACATTTAGCTGATATTTCCTTGCGTGCGTGTGCATGTGTGTGTCTGTGTGCGTGTGTGTGTGCGTGTGTTTGTGTGTGTGTGTGTTATGCAGGAGGTGTGTGTTGGTAACAGCGCCCCCTCTGTCCCTTCTAAAGACAGCAGGATGTTGACCTGCTCCAGATGTAAACGTTTAAACCACTGTGATGCCAGATACTGCGACTGGTGCGGCTCCAAGGTGAGAACTCACGCACAGAGTGAAGCATTGTGGGATATGTAATGACATGGTGCATGTTTGTAGTCGGGTCATGCAGCCAGCTGTGTGATGTGTTGGCGATGTGGAGCGAGTTCACACCCAAACGCCTTCTACTGTGCAACCTGTGGCGTACACCTGGATGCACCAGCCCCGCCCACAACCTGCAGTGACATCACACGTGCTGCTGCTCCCCACCAGGTGAGCTGAACCTCTGACATCACTCACACACATCCTAATCCAGTGTCACCCAATAAGAGGCTGTTGTTTACTTTTGAGCAGGCTTCAGCCTCGGCCTCCCATGATGCCACCTGCTCACCTCCCAGTGTGAAGTTAGCCCCGCCCTCTGTGGATCAGTCCACTCAGACTGTTGGACTCTATTACCCATCAGCCACTGAGCTCCAAAGGAAGGACCAGCAGAGGGAGCTACAGCTCAGCAGACAGTCAAGCAGAGACCGCCAACCACCTGTGACCGCCATCAGCCCGGGCAGAGGTCAGATACTTCTCGTACTACAGATACTACAGATAGTAGTGTTACTGGTACCACTGATAATATTACTACTGACACTATTACTAGTTATCGTACTAATGATCACTTATATCATGTGCCTGTCGTCAGGTTACTGGAGGAAGCAGGTGGATCATGTGTGTGCTCACCTGAGGAGTTATGCTCAAAACAACGCCCCCTTCAGGACTGTGCTGGGAGAGCCTCGCCTGGGCCGGGTAGGTCTCACCTGTACAACACGTCACCTGCGAGAGGTTGGGCCCGTGTGCAGCGTGTTGACTCGTCAGTTGTGTTTCTTCCTCCTTCAGATGGTTTCTGCTGTGGTTCAAGAAGATGGTTACGAAGTCAGTTTGACCATCAGCTTTGTTTCAGCCGCACAGGAAGTAAAACAGGTGTGTTTCAAAAACAGCCACAGCTCATGTTGTCATGTTGCGTCTGGTAAACGTGAGGTGACGGAGTGTGTGTGCTATCAGGGGGATCCTTCCGGCGATGATGCACCTCCGGCAGGTGGCGTTTTACCAGCAGGTGGGACTGAGACTCTGAGCAGCGTTACAGAGCGATTCAGCAGCAGCCTCAGCACAAACGGTTCGTACGTACACTTTATTTATTGGGTTATTTAWACCCTTGATAATCTGCAATTTCACCACTAGATGTCACTAAATCCTTCACACGAGTCCTCACAGGGGTGGATTTTAGTTCATTGACTAAATTGACAAATATTTTTAAATAATTTGTTTGTGTCTGACAGGAAGTGATAAAACCACAGGTCTGGTGAAACCCCCCAAACCAACCCTGACACTTAAACCTCCGGTAAGGTCCTCCACCAGCTGTGCAGGTGTGTTCGGTGTGTTCAGGTGTGT